AAAAACCTCCCCTAAAGTGTATGACAATTTCACTTAGCTCTCCTCAAGTTTTAAAAATTACACTGACCTCTCTTGACACAATAATATGACTATAATTACCTTCACCCAATAGATGATTCACAATATAATGCAATGAAATATATACATAGGAAAACAAAACAAAAAAAAGTAGAACCCCTATCTCTTCATCTCACAACCAAGGACTGTCTATTCTCTCTCCCTTAATCTCATTCTATTCTCATTTATCTATGAACTCATCTCTTTCTCCCTCTACCCACTTTCCTTCCATAACTCCCTCTCAATTCCCTCCAATAATGCCTACTACTACTGCCAACCATTCCACAATTGATCCCTCTAACTCTATTGTGTGTGTGTGTGTGTATTTTTAATTCTTCCTGTCTTCCTTTTTAAAATTAGTTTTGGTTTTCCTGTGGAAGTAGAGCTTTTCTATATTTAAGATCCTGTTTGCTAACCCAATTTAGCACTTAAATTTAAGAGTAAATTTTATATACATTGTCAGTGTATACACTATCACGATTGGATAAATGACACATGAGTAAATTTTGGATTTCAAATTCAAATTTTACACATGTAGCATATATCTAATGGTGATAGTGTATACACTGACAGTGTATATAAGATTAATTCTAAATTTAATGGGTTTAGATCTTAATATGTTCAGATGCATTTGATAACAAAAAATAGAACATCTAAATTAATTAAGTGGTATTGAATTTTTTAGCAAAACTTGTTCTAAAAAATAAGTGATAAACTATTTATTTATCACTTAATGTGATATACACTCAAATGTATCTGATTTAGTATTTAACAATTCAGTAATATAATGGATTCAAACTTCAGATTTTTCATATTTCAGTTTTTAGATTTCAATTTTATCTAACGCAACCTAAGATGTTATTATTTTTGGGGATTTGGTGGTAGACTAGATTATTTCATACAAATATGGTCTCCATCATTGGATTTGAAGTTTGAGGTATGATTGGTTGTGAATGGAATTTGGTTTTTGGCAAAATGAATTTCTTGAAGATCTAAATAGTCATAAGGATGACTTATTCTTTTAAACCTAACTAATTCCATCCAAATTCAGGAAACTCCCCTAAGGATTCCCTTGATGGCCACAATATGGCTCGTGTACAAGAATTTGTGTGGAACCAGCCTTGACATCCTAAGCTGACGATTATGAAAACATAGGTAGCTGATTGTAAGTTTGACCATTCCATGGGACCTATAGAATTTTACTGAATGAGTAAATGATTTTTTCAGTGTCGGATCTAGTTTAACATGTGGATTGCAAGAAACAATTTCTATGATGATGTTGACGGAATTGCTTGGTTTGATAGTATTGTTGGTTTGATGCAAATGTAGATAAAGGTGATTTATAAGTACTTTTTGTTTTGTTATTGTACAAAAACGGTAGTTCAGGATTTTTAAAAAAAAATCTAGCTTATTGGGCCTGTATTGTTACATGAATAGTAAAAACAAGGGAGGTAGGTGTAATTTATAAAACTTGAGGGGAGCTCTCTGCAATTGTTAAAAACATCAAGGGAGGTTTCTGAAATTATCCATGATACAAAGTTAAGTACTTGGCTAGTTTGGTCTTCTAATTACAAAATTAAAAGATCCTTAAAATTTAAAACTTGAGACTCTGATAAGTAGTGCAAGTGCTTATATGAATCTAGAAAGTGGCTTAGCCACTGCTTAAAAAAGAAACAACTTCCTCTAGCAATCACAAGAATATAAATATAGTTTTTAGATGGCCATTAGTTGGAGTACTAGTCAGCTTATCATCGCCCCATGAATACAATTTGTTGATGCTTCATCCACCCGCCAGCCGATCTAAAAAACCGTGGTGTTTTTGACCTTCGAGTTGCTTGCTCCTCTTGCAAGTGGTAGGGTCTGTCTTGACACCTGTATTTTTTAGCCTGTATTAGAAAGACAATTTTTTCTAATATATTATATGCAGAAAAACTCTTAAATACCCATAAATTTTAGAAAAACATTAAATAAGGTATTAATGGCGGAAGTGGCTGCAAGTGGTGGGCGGGCAGCGGCGGAGGTTAATTAATAGTTGTGGGGGAAGGGTGGTTGGGATGTTGTTTGATAAACATCAATTTCTAGACAAACACTTATGTTGAGTCCATAACTTATACATGTATACATTTTGCCCCTTTAGATTAAATTTTTTGATTCCATTACTGCTTGAAAGTTGGTATAAATAAATAAAATATTTCACACACACACACACACACATATATATTCGATACAATAATATAATGTGAAAGTATATTATATACTTTATTGCATGCAACAGGATGGAATTGGAATTGAATAGAAACAATCAAACCTGTCTGAAGTCTGAAGTGGTATCAAATTTGTATAACGTGGTTACCATACTCCTCTGATTTAATTATTAATTAAATAAAGAGTTACTTAATTTAAAAGGACAAACGGAGAAGTACCTAGAAAACAGCTAGTAATAGTAATTGAAGTTCAATTTATCTCTACTAGTTTTGCTACATTAAGCAATCAACGCAGCTCTAACAAATAAACTTTTGTCTCTCTGAATATGTTTAATAAATTGATTTCAATTGCACTTTCCATAAACTTCAAATGGAAACAGCGTAAGATCTACAACTATCATAAACGCCAGACACTGAAATTCCTCACTTATAGTAATGGTAGGGAACTTATATTAATGGTAGGGAATTTTTGCGAGTAGTGATGTTGAACAAAATAATATATATATTAGTCTACTCTTAGTTTTTACACTGCGTTTAAAAATTGTCACTTGTGGGTTTATGATTTGGCTTGCCACATCTTTCCCTAGAATTATTACGAGTAATTCTGCCTTAAGATGGTCTCGTAGAAACATATAACCACACCCCACGAAATATAACACTACTATCTTCTTATGATGTTGAATTGGTCACAATTACTTGAATTAAGTGGTTTCGGATTATACGCTATCACAATTATTTGAATTAAGTGGTTTTGGATTATACCCTATCACAGCTACTACTTGAATTAATTGGTTTTTGAGGATGTTTTTGAAATATTTTATTATAACAATATAGGTGAAAATTTTTTACTGTAGATGAGGTTGTTTTTGAGGTTATTTTTTGTGTTTTTAGCATTTTTTAGATTGTTTTTGGTATTTTTATGGTTGTTTTTATTTGTGTATTACTGTAGTATTGTATATGAAGATGTTGTTATTTTTTAAAAATGACCAGTCAAACGCATATGTTTTCAAGATGACATTTGTTCCTTCATTTGAATCTAGTAGGTTCAATGACACAAACTATCATCTCAAAACAATGTAACATGATGTAATACTAAAAAGTATAATAGAGGATTCAAAGACGAATTAAGTGACCGAAATTACACCTTCCTAAATCACATGCATCTAATACACTAGCTAGGAGGGCAAAAAGGTATACTTCGTATTAAGAATTTAACGTCTCGAGTAGATCTTACAATTAAGAGCAGGGAAGGTTTTGTGTCCGACTATATATTTTTAGCTGATGTTAATGAAATACTTCGTGTTAGTCACCAAAATATTGAAAGATGGTTAATACTGGAGAAATAACTAACATTGCAAAACACAAAATTCCACCCACAACAACTTGCTTCAAAGAGAAAAGTGAGTGATCATGTTCTTGCCATGTTTGAATGCTACGGCTCCGTCCTTCTAGTGGTTGACTAGATTAGTGGTTTCTTCTACTCCTATCCACATCTTAATTGTAGATTAGTTGATATATGCAGCCACCAAAGCAGCTCAGTTTTTAACTCTTAAACTGTCACATTTCGTTGTTCTTATCATCTCCTTTGATTTCCAAAGGAATTCTTCTCATGCAATCTGACGAATTTGTCACTTTCTGTTGGCGTTAAAATGTGCCAATAGCTGTGAAGTATGGACCTTAGGTTGATCATCAACTTAACAAAGAAAGTGTTTTTTTCCCCCTTTTTTCCATGGGTATATATCAAGGTTGTGTAAAAAATTTAACAAACTTCCTAGATCCCGTGAAGTTAATTAAGTAAATGAACAACCATTGTGAGAAGTAGTAATAAATAATTAAGTATATAGTTGGCCATTTTTGTCTTCTAATAAAATAAAAGATGATTAAAACTTAAAAGAGTTGAGACTCTGATAAGTAGTGCAAGTGCTTATATATATACATATCTAAAAAGTGACCATGTATAGTGGCTTAGCCATTGCTTAAAAGAGAAACAACTTCCTCAGGCAATCAGAAGAGTGTAACAGTTCTTAGATGGCCATTAGTTGGAGTATTACTCAGCTTACCATCACCCTATTATTATTCAACCATAAACAATTTCTTGATGCTTCATCCACCCACCCGCCAGCCGACTCAAAAACCGTGGAGTTTTATGGCTTTCGAGCTGCACCCCTTGCAAGTGGTAGGGCATATTTGGCACGTGATTTTAGCCTGTTCTAAAAGGACAGTTTATCTAACACATCATCTATAGCAATATTCTAAAATATCTATAAGTTATAAAGCATATTAAACATTTAATAGGATATAAGTGACAGCGGTGATTGCCGGTGGTGGGTGGCGGAGATTAACATTGGTGGGGTGAGAGGGAAGGAAATTTTTTTTAAAAAAAAAAATTAGTATTTTGATAAACAGAAATATTTTCCTAAAACAACTAAAAAAGCGCACTATTTAAGTGGCAAGATCATACTCACTCACTTTCCCTTTTTGAAGTAACTTGTGGGAGCAGCTTTGTGTGTTACAAGTTTGTTTCTCTGGTATTGACCATCTTTAATTTCTTGGTGACTAACACGAAGTATTTCATTAACATGAGTTAGAAATAGTCGTGGACAATTCGCAAGTATTAGCATGAGTTAGAAATATTAGCATTAACTCTGAAATCTTCAATTCCCTAGTATTATGGACACAAATTCGGTGGCGGTTGCTTGGACCAGTAAGACCAAAAGGGTCTTTCCAACTATGAATAATATGTAGAAAACCTTTTTCTTTGGCTTTTTTCACACAAAACTCAGTGTACCAAATCATGAAGTTGGCAGGTTTTGGCACCATTCATAGCTCCTTTCTTAGTAACCATAACTAAACTTCTATTAAGTAGACCCATCAAGTAGTTGTAAGCCTGTTGCTCTAAGCTCTTTCCTTCAGTCTGTTGCACGAATCCTTCAGAGATCCAAAACCATAACAACCTTCGGACATTAATAACCTGATCTTCTTGAAATGCAGCAAAGTATAGAAGGTATGGTTTCAAGTGTCTTCATGCAGTATTCATCGTCAAGAACAATAGAACTTAGACTTTTTGCAACTTCTTCCCAGCTATCTTGTGCAATAGTAGCAAGAATTCCAGCAACAAGGACAACTGTGAGGGGTAAGCGCCTACAAATTTTTGCTATTTGATATCCAACTTCACTTAGTTCTGGAGGACAACCTTCTTTGTCAAATATCTTTTTCTGTAGCAATGCCCAACACTCTTCGTCAATAAGTTGGCGGAGATGGTAAGGCTTAGTATTCCGTTTGAATTGTGAAGACAAATTCTGAAATCTACCGATGAAGAGAATCTTGCTTCCATTGGCATCATTTGGCAATGATTTTTCCAACAATTTCCATGCCTCAATGTCCCACAAGTCATCCAAAACAAGGAGATACCTACTTCTCAGCAAAACCTGCCTTAGCTTCTCAGCCAAATCATTTTCATCCTTCTTAAAATATTCATCTGGACTCTTAGAATGGATACTACACAAAAACTGAGCAAACAAACTGTGCTTGCTATATGTTTGAGAAACACAACACCAGCCACAAATGTATTTGAACTTTTAGTAAATAGCGTTGTTTTTCTTGAGAAACCAAAAAATGTATTTTGCAATTAATTCCCTAATCTTTTGAGTAATTTCATTGTGGTCCTAAAATATTGGTATCTTTCATTTAGGTCCCTAATTTAATTGCATTTTGGTCTCTAAACTTTATCTTTTATTTAATTTTGACCTCTATTTTTTCTAAAAATTATAATTTGACTCTAAAAACTTTTCAATTTTTGCAATTAAGTCCCTAATCTTTACCATTTCTTAATTATAATTGTTTATCTTCTTTGAATTGTTAGTCAAGTTTTATTTAAATGCATTTAATTAGCAAATTTTAGAAATTTTAAGTTTATTCATATTTCTTTAAAATAGTAAAGTAAATTTGCTATATGTTTACATTTTCTTTTAAATTGTTAATTAAATTAGTGCCTTGACTATTTTATTGATTTTGGAGTATAAAGGCAAACTTTATCTCATTTAGCCACTATTTCAAGGGAGGTATCTTTTATTATTATTTTAAATTTTTTTATGTACTCCTATGTATTTTTTTACGTGTGATTGCATGATTTGAATGTTTTTTCTTTTATTTACTCATTTATTCATTTTAAGTTTTTATTTATTTTATTTTTGATGATCATTTGGAAGGCATTTAAATGCCAATTTGTAATAGATAGGTGTCCAAAAAATGTATGTAGTTAGGCCATGTAATAAATAGATTTTATTTTGACAAAAATGTAATTAGTTAGACAAAGGTAATAGATAGATTTATTATTTTCAAAAATTCCCCGTCTAGATTGTAGTTAGAGCCCCCAATATAATAGTTAGTTTTCATTTCCTTGCATGCTTATGTGTTTGTGTGTTTATGTATTTTATTCGCTTTTTTTAAAAATTTTGCATCTAATTATTATGTTTATGTGCTATATGCTTGATATGCGCTATATGTTTTATGTATTTACTTTAGTTATATTTTATATGCTTTATTTATTTGTAATAAATGCATGACGTCGCCATACTAGTCCAATGTTAGTTGTGATCTTTCTCCCCGATTTCTCCCTATTCCAACGCTAGCGAAGATTTGTGAAAATGAGTTAATCCAATGCTAGACCCTTTAGACCATTTTTTGCGCTAGATTCATATCTTGTGTGACATTTATTACATCTCATCCATCTTTTCCTATTTTTATGTTATTTTCAATTGCATGATATTTTTCCAACTATTATTTCCTTACCCTCTATATGTTTAGATGATATCATTTAAAATTGCATCTCATTTTAGTAAATTAGAAATAGATTAGTCCATGTGTTTGACTAATTTAGGAGAGTCACCCTTAGAAAATGGGAAATGGGCGAGTTTGGTTTTTTGGTTTTAGCACGTTATTACCCCTCCGTAATTATGAAAATTAAGTCACGAATTTTAGTACCCCGTACCCGTTATGTTGCATTTCCCTCTTCTAGGTCATATATGTTTATCTATATATTATAATTACCTTTTTTTTTAGTCTCATCTTTTGCATTATTCGTAGCCTTTTCGAAGAATTATTTTTGTGCATCACAATTAATATGATTTGCACCAATTAATCATTGAAGAGACATTTTTCGCCCCTCCCGATATCCTCTAGGTTTAGATTTGCATCCATAGAGAAACATCCAAATGTGATAAGTTTTATAAGTTAGATTAGAAAATTTTTTTACTAAACTCGTAACTAGCCTTGGTTAGGTTGAAAGGGTGCCTTAAGTTCGAACCTATCAAATCTTTGTCTTTCCTTTCTTCAACAGTGACTCCCGAGCTTTTTTCTATTGTTTTCAAGGAATTGGAGTTGTCTAAAAGGGTTTTTTAATGGTTTTCATTTAAAAATATATTTTGGATGATTTGGTACATCTAACTCAATACCAAGTGGCGACTACTATTTTTCTTAAAAAATGTTTTTTAAACTAAATTTTGGGTCCAAACAGTCATACTTTATATGTTCCATTTTAGGCCCTTTTCTTTATTTGCTAAAATAAAATTAAAAACACATTTTTCTAACTCCACTTTCACTTTTATTTTCAAAAAAGGGGCGCGACATGATGAATGCTTAATCTAGTAAAATTACTAGAGATAATTAAACTTCAATTATTACTCTAATCGTGTTGCTTTCTAGGCACTTCTCCGATTTTCCTTGTATATTTTTTTGAGCCGATTCTTTAATTTCAGAATTGCTCAAAAGAAAAAATAAAGAGGGAAGGTTATTATTTAAAAAAGTTCAAAGGCAAAACTATAATACTTCTCGCCTACTAACATTGCAAGAGTTTTACAAGTCAAGGGAGGCGTTCAGAATTGTGATGAACTTTAAGGGAGCAAACTGTAATGGTATAGTATCTTACTATTCCTTGCTGTGAACTCTTTGGATTCCTTGTGCCTGAGCCCACGAGCACTGTAATTTGCAGCCTAAAATGTCTAAATTCTATATTTCAATTACTTGTACCACGTTCCCAAGCGGGCCAATCATTAACGACGTGTTAGGCCATAACTGTATCTATGCTGTAAATCGGATGTGTATGGTAGAAATGCGATTCTAAAATCATTTGGTTCAATTTCGTGGGCTCATTTACCCATCATCTAAAACTTGGAATTCAACATGATAATGGAAATAAAGTTCAAGAAATTTATGTTTTCATCTCTGACGAAAACAAAAAGAGCATCAATTAGTACAAGAAAGATAGAAGAAAGAAGGCATATGGCAGTTCAACTTAGAGACCCAAATCGTGATATTATTTTATTTTATGTAAGAGGAATTATTTCCATTATTAATTACTCCTTTCCAAGTTATATCACTTTCTCCAAATCAACTTATAATACTTGAATTTCCTAGGGTCGCCTTTAGATGAATATATGAGATGCCTATTCCATGGGAAAAAAATGTTCTACCTGAAATTAATCTCTGTGGCATTTGGTACTTAATTTTGGCCATGGATTGCGGCATATTGAATCACAAAAACCCAAAAAGTCTCTGAAAGGCAATACATAAGTGACCGTCCAAAATAAATAATAAAACCAGCTCGAGATCCACGGGGAAATGGGGCATAGATGGATATCTTGCAAAGTTCCTTCAACAACGTGAAACTCGATTTGGGAGCTCACGTTGGTCCACCAGTGACAGGAGAGGTTTTAGAATTTTTCGGGCTGTGAGTTTCAAGGTGCTGAATCCTGAATCTGACAATTGGCATAAGAAGAATGCTGCTAAATGAAACTCAATTTGGTGAATTTTTTGTAGTCTGTACTACTAATGTCCTGTTTGGGATTATGATCCTTTTGGTAAAAAAACACTTTTATGTGCTAAAAGTATTTTTAAAATATTTGGTGAGTATCATCCCACAAAATTATAAAAAAAGTTTTTGGTGTTAAAAGCACTTTTAGCAAAAGTTCAAATTTGATGCTTTTAGAATAGTTTTTGTTATTGAAAAAATAAAACATCAAATTTAATCATTTTATCATATATTATGAACCAAATAAAAAGATAAACACTTTTGAAAATTTTCAAATTACATATTATCCAATACAATCTATATCTATATCTATATGTATTGCAGAAGGAGTTTTTAGCAGAGACCCTCTCAATGACTTCCAAACTTCTCATTCTTTTTTCTAAATTTTTGTATTTATTTTAATACATAAAAAGTAGTGGGTTATAACCAACCCTATCACCAATCAAATTTAAAATTTAAAATTTTTCCATAATCTACTTCATAAACCGTTTATAGTTTGTTATTTATATTTTAAATCCTTTTTACTTCTTCATTAAAGACAAATGTTCATTCACATACTATTTTAATACCCTATCACCAGTCATATTTAAAATTTAAAACTTTCTCATAATCTACTTCATAAACCGTTTATAATTTGTTATTTATACTTTAAATCCTTTTTACTCCCTCATTAAAGACAAATGTTCATTCACATGCTATTTTAATACAATTTTAATTCGGAAGCATACAACATGATCAAGAAACAGCAGAACCAATTAGGACCAGATTTTGACCAAAAACACAATTAGGTCTAGATGTCACTGGCACGTTGCCGTAACTTACAATGCCAATTAGGACTATTTAGCCTTTTTTTTTTTTTTTTACAAAGAGTTAGGACACTGTAAAGCTTATTTAGGCAAACTTTGCCTCATCGGTGATTTGAGTATCAAGTTATTGAATATACTACAAATTCTATAATATCAGTCTGCTAGAAAAATTAATATTTTACTAGCATGTGGTATTTGCATATGAAATTTCAAAGGTAAATCAAATGCTTTTACTTATACTCTATATAATTTGAATAATTTTTTAGCGAATATAACCATACTATGCAGGACCATTACTTTGTACAATTAGAGCTAGCAAATTGTATATCAATTACAATTTAGATTTTGCTCGATACCTGCGCAGTTGGTGAGTTCCATCAGTAACACTACATCAAACTTTTAATGTTATTTCATACTCTTATCAACATGTATTTCAAAAAATCGTAGGTTTGAAAATGATACATGTACTCGAAAGTTAGTTACGTGGTTGAGATTAAGCAATTTTGCAACATCACAAGCATTGTTGATAGCAAATTCAAAGAGAATATGGATATCCGAATATACAATCATGCATACGGTAAACTTACTCTATTTAATTTAATTACTGCACAAATTTTTTAATTTTATAATCATAATCTATACTTTCTTTCATTCTTATGAGGTTAAATATTTTCGAATACTTACTTACATTCAGAGCATTAACAGAGAAAACATGTTCTATGAGTTATGCAAAAATTGTGGACAATTATGTGAAGGTCATTTTTCAAAAACAGTATGTATGCATTATAATGACGTGGTCGACATTGTTGTTAGGTAATTAATTTCATGTACCTTTAATTTCAACAATTTTTTCTATATTGTATATAACATTTTATTTGTCAAACAGGTATAATGTTAATATACAAATCAAAGATTTCAGTAGTAACATGCATCTTAATCTACAGGACAGACATGCACGATTCGTATTTGGTTGTGATGCTTCTTATCTTAGAGAATTACAAAGGGAGGTAGAATTTTTTGATATATGTTTATTTTTTATAACGCTATTTATAAACTATGTAAAAAAAATACACTAATTTTGAATTTCGCACGAACTTAATTCTCAGGACAATGGTGATAGGTTGTTCAACCAACGAATCAATTCATGCAAAGATCGTGCATTTTCATTTGTAGTATACATTCCACAAAATTCAACAGAATTAATTAAATCACCAATTTTGGCTTTCGTACTAAAAGTTGATTGGTGTGAAGAGTTTTCACACCTTCATGCAAGATTATCAAATCGAATGCATAATATTTGTAAATATTTTATTTTAACAACATTTAATTACATTCATTTTTATTCATATATAATTCATTTTCTAATATAAATTTCTATTATTTTTTTAGAATCTATCTTCTAAAAAAAGATAATTTTTGAATAATATACACATTCTATCATATTTCAAACTATTGTTAGACAGATATTATATTTTATTTGTGTTGGTACAATTTTTTAACCTTTTTTAATTCACCCTTTTATTTTCATTTTTTTCAATAATGTCAGCATCGTGCGTAATACGGGTGTTCACACTAGTCTATATGTATTGCATAAGGGGTTTTTAGTAGAGACCCTCCCAATGACTTCTAAACATCTCATTCTTTTTTCTAGATTTTTGTATTTATTTTAATACATAAAAAGTAGTGGGTTATAACAAACCCTATTACCAATTAAATTTAAAATTTAAAACATTCACACTATCTACTTCATAAACCGTTTATAGTTTGTTATTTATACTTTAAATCTT